GGACAGGTGGATACCACACACCTTTAATCCCAGCACTTGGGAGGCAGAGACAAGTGGACCTCTGTAAGTTCAAGACCAGCCTGGTTTACATAGTGAGTTCCAGGCCAGCCAATGTCATCAAATATTCTGTTGTATTTCTTTCCTTCCTTCCACACATTTTCCAAATGCATTTTAAAGTACATTTTAAACTTATTATTTAGTGGCCCACAGCTCGGTTTGGGGGGTGAGGGTGCTGGATGTGTGTGTGTGTGTGTGTGTGTGTGTGTGTGTGTACAACTTGAGGGAGTCAGTTCTCTCCTTCCAGCATGTGGGTCTGGGGTACTGAACTCGTTAGGCATGACAGCAAGTGCCTTAAGCCATTGAGTGACTCCTGGCTTTTAAGGTTTTTATTGATAGTGTTACTAAGATGAAATTCATATAAAACAAAATTCACTATCAAAAGGTGCGCAAGTCTATTTTGCAGCTGTTGTTGTTTTGGCTTTTTGAGACAGTGTCTCACTGTGTAGCCCTGGCTAGCCTGGAACTTGCTATGTAGACCAGGCTGACTTTGAACTCAAAGAGATCCACTTGCCTCTGCCTCCTAAGTGCTGGGATTAAAGGCATGTGCTACCATGCCTGGTCTACAGATCTGTTTTTTAGTGTATCAGAGCTGTATGAGCTTCACTGTATCCTGATTCTAGAATGTTCTCATTGTCCAACAGCAGGACCCTCATGTCAGCAGCTGCACCCTCCCCTCGGCTCCCAGCCACTGGAGACCATTCTCTACTTTCTGTCTCTCTAGATTTGTCTGTTCTGGATGTTTCACATGACTGGAATCATGTATTCCGGGCCTTTGCTGTCTGGCTCCTTCACTTAGCATCATGTTTTTGAGAACCATCTCTTTGTTAAGCTGCACATATGAATTTTAAAAACAAAGCAGAGAGTATAGTGAACAAGAATTATCCTGCTTAAACATTTTCCTTTCATCATTAAACCTCTGAAAAAATAGTAAGCAAGGCCTGGTGGTACAGAACTGTAAATCCCAGTTTCTTTGGAGGCTGAGGCAGGAGAGTGGCAAGTTCAAGGCCAGCCTGGGATACAGAGGGCATTCAAGGCCAGCCTGGACAACTTAGCGAGACCCTGTCTCCAAATAAAAAGTGAAAGCTGGGCATGGTGGTACATGCCTTTAATCTCAGTACTCTGGAAGCAGAGACAGGCAGATCTCTGTGAGATGGAGACCAGCCTGGTCTACATAACCAGTTCTAGACCAGCTGAGGCTACAGGGAGACCCTATCTCAAAAAAAAAAAATTTTTTTTAAGTGAAGTGGTAGAGCAGTTGCTTAGCAGGCACCAGGCTCCAGACTCAACCCCCAGTATAAAGAAAGAAAAAGAAAGAAAGAAAGAAAGAAAGAAAGAAAGAAAGAAAGAAAGAAAGAAAGAAAGGAAGGAAGGGGAAGAAGGAAGGAAGGAAGGAAGGAAGGAAGGAAGGAAGGAAGGAAGGAAGGAAGGAAGGAAGGAAGGAAAGGTTTGACAGTCCTATACATCTATACAGTTGTCTCTTGGTTTCCCTAGGGTTTGGTTCTAGATCTCTCCATGAAAGCAGTCTGAAGACTCTCAAGGCCTCTTTTGAAATGGTTTAGTATTTGCATCCAATCTCTCCACAGCCTCCTGTGTGCCTCAGACCCCTTCCAGACGACACCATCATGCAATGCCAAGGCCATGCAAGTAGCTGCTCTGCTGTACTGGGCGGATACGAGTGACAAGAAACAAGTTCCCCTCATGAAGTGCAGGTACAAAAGATGTTTTTTAAATCACGGTGGGGCGAACCTGTACATACAAAATCCATGGGTGCTGAGAGCTGATGGACACAGCGTGCGTATCGTGTTGAATGGTATGCTCCATTTTTACCAATGAGTTTCGGTTTTTCAGCATTATAACAAAGCTATGAGCAGCAATTCCTACCTTTGTTGAATGAACAATCAGATCCTTAAGTAGGTCTTGCAGCTTTTCCCATTCTTCCTTTAAGGAAGATGCCTAGAAACAGACTTGATTTTCAAGGCTTTTGATTCTTACTGATACTGTGTTTTCTAAAACAAAAAGTCTGACCTAATGTCCTGACACGGCATAAAACAAGCCTAGTGACATCATTTTCCACACCATCCATAGTAAATCCCAATTCCTTAGATGGCGGGGAGGCCCGGCACCCTCTTGGACGTGCCTTTCTCCTCAGCTCTTCTCGCTGTTCCACCAACTCTCTGCCCCAACCTAGACTGGTCCTTCTCCCAAAATACACCACATCTGCTGTTGACAAGGCTGCTGGGCCTCCTCACAGGCTGTTCCCTGTGCCCTCAACACCTTTCCCCGGTCTCTGTCCCTCTCACTTACCTCCTCAGTGGCCCTTCCATGAAAATAATACCTCCTAGCTGGGCATGGTGGCACGCACATTTAATCCCAGCACTTGGGAGGCAGAGCAGGTGGATCTCTGTGAGTGCAAGGCCAGCCTGGTCTACATAATGAGTCCAGGCCAGCTGGGGCTACAGGGAGATCCTGTCTCAAAAAAATAGAAAATAGCACCTCAAGGTTTATCTTCTTCCTCTCCATCTGTGCTTTTATTTTTTTTCTCCACAGCATTTATCACCTTCTAATCAACTGCACCATTGATTTACTTATTTTGTTATCTTGACCCACTACAATTAATCATTAGAGCCTGGCCCAGTGCCTGGCATAAGTAGGCACACAGGAAATAAGTGTTGAATCGAATCCACAACAGGCACTAAGTGCTGCTCTTATAAGATTGGGGCCCACCCTGCCACCCACAGCCACAGCATGAGGCCCTGTCTTCTAACAATTCCTGGTCGGCTCCTTTTTTCTTGACTTAGCTCTGAAGCAAACTGGGAGGTAGCTGGCTTCCAAGTTGCTTGTCCTGCCCCTTAATGAAACTTGGAAGAGGCTGACCCTGCCAGATAAGCTATCTTGTGACTAAGGAGAACAAAGGTTTGCTTCTAGAAGGGCTCCTGGGGCAGAGCCCACCAAAGCACCAGGCTTTCAGGCAGGGGCAGCCCAGGGTACTAGACTCACCAGGACCTCCCAGGTGCTGGCTCCCTGCCAGAAGAGGACTGTCAGCCACAGTCTTTGGAAAGTGTTGGATTCTGAAAGAGGCAGTCCTGCAACATAGGCCTGGGACAAGACAGGCAGGTCCCACCAGAAGCAGGGAAATCCCTTCCCTGGTTCAGCCAGGCCACACAGGGAGTCCCTCTGGAGCCTCCCCATTGTATCACACTTCCGGCCAGGCTCCTGGGCTTGCTACCACAGCTGAGGAGCAAAATTCCCAAACCCAATATGGTCATGTTTTTAAAACATGCCCAGAAGTCAGTGGACAAAGTCTCACAATCATCTCAAGCTTAAACCTATAGCAAAGGAGGCAGAGATGATATGAGTCACAGACTCACTCTGCATTCCCGAAGAAGCAAGTAGGGCCTCGCTAGCCAATGCCTACTCCATGCCTTGAGACCTAGAATTATGGTGCCCACCTAGGCTGGCCTCCTAGGAGCACAGCCACCAGCTCCTGGCTGGAACATTCTGGAATTTTTCTTTGGGAGCAGCTGCTAGGGCCTGACATTGCTCTGAGTCTGTTCTGCAGATGCATTTGTGGTAACTGACTATGGAATATGGTCTTTATAGAAATCTGTCAAGACATCATGTTCATACAAAAAAGCACAGTACTCACCAACCAATAGCTTGATGGGTTTCCAGAAACGAATACTCCCCAATGTAATCACCCATAGGAGGCAGACCCCTATAAAATGAATACCCCCCATGTAATCACCCATAGGAGGCAGACCCCTATAAGCACCACTCGGATCCACAGAATATTCCTGGCCACCCAGAACTCCCATAGACCCCTCTCAAACAAGCCCACTTCCCATCCTCTAGCCTAGTCATATCTAGCAGTTAAGACTGCTTAGCCTGTTTGGGAACGTCAGCTTTTATATTATATGCATTTCTGTGTCTGGTTTTCTTTCTGTGGTGTATTTGTGAAATTAGCATGTTATTGCGTGTAGCAATCATTTGTTCTTTGCTGTGGCTGCAAAGTATTCCACTTTAGGAATAGACTCATTGACTTACTGGCTATTACAAATGGTGTTATTGAGAACATTCTTGTGTGTCTCTCGGTGCACTCATTTCTCTTCGGTATATTTGGAGTGGATTTACTGGGAGACAGGGCGCTATGTGTTCAGCTTTACTGCATAACTACCAGGCAGATTTCCAATGTGGTTATACCACTTTATGCTCTCGACAGCTGCCTATGAGCATCCTGGGTGCTCTACATCTTCATCAATTCTTGGGTTGGTCTTTAGATTCCCCCATTCTGGGAGATGCATAGAGATGTAGTTCTCAGTTTCAGTTTGCATAAGAAACCTGGTCTTTATTTAAAACCTCTTGGTGCATGACTTGTAAGGTATGAGGTAGACACTCACATTAGGATCCTAAGTGGGCTCTGAAAACAGGGCTTAGAGAGGGTCTCCCCTGGACCCTAGAATCAGGGAAGCCATGACAGTAAGGGTCAGAGGGGTCCACTCAGCAGGAACAAAAGATCTGATGTCATCATCCATCTTGGCACAACCCAGCCTCAAAGCTCAAGGCTTTGTCTCTACAGCCCACACCTCACTTACTGTTTCCTGTTCTCTGCTGGCATCTCCTTCCTCTGGACCCCACCCCTCCCTTCTGGCTCTCTCCTCATCAAGGCTCCACTCAGGGGCCACACCTTGCACACAGCTCCTTCAACCCTCTGCTGGCATTAGCCACAGGCTGTACCATGAGCAGCAAATCTTGCGGCCTGTCAGATTACTGCCTCTGGCGTGCTT